TGAAGTCTTAAATAGTTCAGTGGAAAGAGCGGTTGTCTGGCAAGCGGAAGGCCCGAGTTTTCAATCCCAGTCGAGTCTGATGTTTTTCATCTCATATGGCATTAAAAGTGGATATCTACAGATACACACAAACACACTCGGCCAAAGTTTTCTGATCTTTCTTTCGTGTGGATGCAATAAAATTTATTAAATCCGAAGAAATCTTTTTGAGTTGAAGTAATTCTATATGAATATTCTAAGAAGTTCTGAGGAACTGCAATTATGGTGCATGTAACTTCCTAAATCATTCTTATAGTATTTTTCTACCTATTCCTAAGGAAGTACAATTCAGGAAAGGAGAAAACTTTAGGAACACTTAAAGAATTCATCGTGTTATCTGGGAAAATCGTAGAAAGCATTAAAAGTGTTAATATGTACGTATGTCATTATTTCAATTTTTTATGACTAATATTATTCTTTTTAGAGAAAATGTCCGTTTGGCCCACACAACACGAGCCTATAAATGGATATACGAAAGACAGTAAGGTATGTTGCATATCTATAGAAAAATATACGCGGTTGATTACATTGTAAAAGTACTTGTAACGTGAAGAAGCACTGAAAAACGGACAGCTAAAAGCAGAAATTAAGTTGCGATTATTCCTGCCTGTGTGATTTTTCACATTGTAGTTTGTAAATGAAGTAAAATATTCAACGGTTCGTTTCTTGTTCTCAGATATCAGTGCGCGATAACATCCATTAACATAGAAGTTTATAAACAGAAATGGTTTGTCTTTAACATAAAAATGTTGAAAAATCTAAATACTTTCTGCGTAGTACGGTTCGTTTGAAATTATCATCACAGCATTCTGACATTCGAACGCGCACTTTTTACTCTTTTGCCTTGTCTTTTTATTACTTGTTGCAGCCTATACATCAATCAGTTAAATATGCAACACCTAGCGAGACTGGACTTGATGGTAATTTTATTGAATTAAACATTATATATCTTATTAATTCGTCCGTCAATCATTTCGTTTCTTACATAAAAAATTAATTAGAATTATCACGATTATCGCAGTATTACCCAGCGGGAAATGACTCGTCGATTCCTATATAGCACAAATTTCTAAAAGACTTCTTAAAGAGTTCCAAAAGAGTTCCCAAGTCTTCCAGAACACTTTTAGAATTCTTTAAGAAGTCTTTTAGAAATTTGTACTATACAGGGTGATTCATAAATGCATGTCATCACTTTAGGAGGCAAATCTACACACTAAAATAAGTAAAACAGGTGATGTGAACATATGTCCTACATACCTTTTCAAGTTATGAATGATTAAAGAAAATGTTCAAAGTATTCGCCTCGTGCATCAATACACGTTACTATACAGCTTAGCACGTCTCGACCTTGTCTAATGATTATAAACAATATCCATCAATACAAATCGCACAAAATTTCAAACAGTCAGTATCTTATCCTCGCGAGTTATTGTTCCGAAGTTATTGTTCTCAATACAGTTTTAAAAAAGGCAAAATGGTTATGTAGATGATCTGCGAGAAAGGATACGAAATGGATTTGAAATGGATTTCGAAGAATACCTGATGTTTTTGCGCGAACGAGTGCGGAACTCGAGCTAAGTAGCGTGTGTTGATGCACGAGGCGAATACTTTAAACATTTTCATTCATAACATGAAAACTAAAGTATGTAGGACATATGACCTTTTTACTTATTTTAGTGTGTAGATTTACTTTCTAAAGTATTGACATGCATTTATGAATCACCCTGTATGGGTTCTCGCTGGGTACGTGTTTTTGATTCTTATCAAGAAACATTTATACTCATATTATTATTCAAAAAACCAACTATCTATACTATTTGAAAACAAACAATTACAATCACGTACACTCGAATACTAATTAAGAATTACTTTTCGCGGTAAGAAAAATATGCTTCCCTTTTTTCTCTCCGAAAGGAGTCCCAGACAACATACCCAGATAACATGCATGTTTAAAAGATGTCAAAAAGATATCTTTTAGATATCTTTTAGATATGCAACAAAATGTTGCATAAGATGTCTTTTCGATATCTTTTAGATGCATGTTATCTGGATAATGTCTAAAATCGGGACGTCTAAAAGACGTCTGTCAGACGTTTTACTTAAAAATGTGATCCTTTGAATTCTCACGAAAGACGTCTGTCAGACGTTTTACTTAAAAATGTGATCCTTTGAATTCTCACGAATTGTTTGGATGAATGGTTTGAATTCTAATAAGTCAAATTGTCTCTTCACTTGACTCGATCGTTCGCAGGACCCGATCAAGTATTACCTGCGGACGTGGACGTAACGTGCGAAGCGAACGGCAAAGTGCGAATAAAATTGGACAGCAACGAATATAATACATTTATGCCCATATCGATACCCGGTATTTTGACCAGAACGGCGCAGCGCTATCCGGATCACGTGGCATTGGTGTCTTGTCCCGGTCCCGATGGCAAAAGAACTACTTATACTTATCGGTACGTCGCGACAACCGAGATAATCGAGACGTCCCATCGAAATCTTTCTCATTTCTCGGATCATCCGAGTGAAAAAGCATCCAACCACAGTGTTGAGCGATAAATCGTACGCATGTAGCATGAGTTTTCTTTTGAAGTTTTCTTTTGATGTATATATCTTATGTATCAACACTGTAAAAAAATTAGATTAAAATATATAACGAAATGTTACGCTGCTGTTTTTTCGACGTAAATTTTTTATGCACAAGTTTTTATCATAATTAACATAATTTTTACAATGCAAATGGCACTCTTTGATTTGTTATAGGAAAAAATAAATATAAGCATTAGCATAGTTTCATTATTCATCAATCACAATAAGTTTCGCGATATTAAATCGATTTTTGTTACAGAGAGTACGAGCAGATAGTAAGAACCGTCGCTAAGGCATTTCTGAAACTGGGCTTGGAGCGATATCATGGCGTCTGTATATTGGGGTTCAATAGCCCTGAATGGTTCATCGCCGATCTCGCGGCCATATACGCTGGGTAAAAGTTTACGATTATTCCATATCACCCTTACAGAAAAGTATTACTGATAATTACTACAGAGACAGTAATGACTATTAATGCATTGGAAATAAGATAGTAAATGAAGCTTAGGTCATATGTGACAGTAACAAGGTCATAGATCATAGGCGAAGTTTATTTGATAATATATATCCAAATTGTAATTATATTTCAAAATCTACAGTCCAAAAAAACAATAACACGATTTACAGAAATACAAACGGTCAAAGACCAACCGCATACCCTTATAGAAATATCATACTAAGAATCATTGATAATTACTTATTATCCAGTATTTTTAATACTGAAAATAAGTAATTATCAATGATTCTTAGTATGATATTTCTATAAGGGCAGTGGAAAATAAAAATCGGCAATAGATCATAATAACTTATACAGCATAAATATTCAATAGATATCTTAAGAACGTTCTAAGAATATTCGAATATTTTTAGAACGTTCTTAGAATATCCATTAAACATTTATGGTATATGAGAAGATATCGGAAGTTCTGCAAACATTAACAAAAAATCCTTATTCATCTTTACATAAAATAGCGCAAGTAAATGACATAAATAAATCATTCATTCATAGAACTTTGAAAAAAGAAAAAAGAAAAATATCATCTGTAAAAAATAACTATCTTTCATAAGCTGAAAGTAAATGATTTTGACAGAATTGAATTTTGCGAGGAAATGATGAATTGATACGACCACAGCAATAACTTTTTTTATTATTTTATTTTTTCTGAATGAATGATGAAACATTTGTATTAAACGGAGCTGTTAATTGTAATAATTGCATTGGACTGGTGAAATCCTCACTAGATGAGTGATTTTCGTACATAATATTCTGAAAAACTCAAGGTTTGTAGGCATATGTCAACGTAGTATTAATCAATCTATCTATCTTTTCTTAATGGAAATTTGAAAAATATCTAAATTTGTTACAAAATTAAACTATACCAGCAAATGAAAATTTATTTGTTGAAGATATGCAAAATGTTTGATTTCAACAAGATGGCGCATTATTACGCTTTATTAGTAAAAGAATTTTTAAATCGTACTTTTCCGCGCGTGCGGACAAATAGATAGGTAGAAGTGGTACAATAGAATTGCTGTGTGTGCGCGCGCATGTATGTGTCAGCAGAAATAAGGACTATACGGTTTGTCATTCCCACAATATTTAATGACTTCAAACCCCTTGTGTTTGTTTTACAATATAATTAGATTACTTAGATTACCAGATTTATCACCTTTGGATTTATCACCTTTATATTTTTTGGAGATAATTAAAAGATAATATTTATGCAACTAAGTCTCGTAATTTAGAGGAGCTCAGAAATTGAACGAAATAAATCTTATACAAATATAAAATGTTTATTGTCAAACCGTAGATAGGCAAACCGTAGATAGATTAAAAAACATATATACACAGAAAGAGTTTGAAGTCATTAAATATTGCGGGAATGACAAATCTGGTCCTTATCTTTGCTGACACACACGCACACACACACACAACAAGAGAGTCCGACCATACAATCTCCACGTAACATATCTTAGATAATGTTAATACCAGCAATACTAAACTTTATCAACCAATAATTCGAAAAGTGTTTTATGGAATTGAAATTTATTATATTTTCTTGTCTCAACGTCTTGCAAATGTCTCGACGTTAGCTACAAAATGAGTCTAGACTAGTCTAGACTGAGTCTAGGGCTGCGTTCCGAAATTCATTTCCAGTACTGAAATTCTATAATATACGTAACATGAACTATAGATTTTTAATACTGGCAGTGCATTTCGGAACGTAGTCTAGGCTGATAGTCTATAAGTATTTAGTCGTATTCTGATGTAATACGTTTGATACGTTTTATTTCCTTCACCAATTGACTTACTAATTAACTGACTTATGATAGCTTAAAACATTGTCTTTAGCGATAGTTTAGTTCTGAAGTGCTCTGCGTTCAAAAAGTTAATTCAACAGAACTTCTAACACCGATTTGTATTTATTCGCGCAATCTGTGTAGAGAAATTATTATTATTATTTATATATTATCTTAACCCTTCGTATACATACTTATTTTTTCAACTTTCGCATACACACTAAGTGGTTGCCAACCATGACAATTTTCGAACAGCTGTATTTTTTAAAATATTTATTCTAAAATTCTGAAAAAATTCATGGATTAACTTTAATATTTATAGAAAGTATTTACATTTTGGTATTAAAATTTAAGAAATTTTATATTAAAAAAAATTATTATATTTCGTGATTTAAAAAAAAGTGAGTTTTTGCAAAAAAAATTTGTAATTTGTAATTTTTATTATTTTTAAGTAAAAATTTAGCATTTTATTGTTGAAATGTTTATCTTTAAGAAAAAAATTGTCTCGTAAGTCATCTCTAGAAAAAGTATATTTATTTTGAATATCAAAGTTCCATTATTTTAGTATATGAAAAAATTTATTTTATTTTTTATTTTATTTTTTCATTTTATTTTTTTTATTTTTTTACACTAGTTCCATTTATTACGATATTTAAAAGGTACAGAGCGCTGAATTTTAGTTATGGGTGGTAACCATGCAGTATGTATACGAAGGGTTAAATTAAAAAATATTAATATTATCATTCTTCTTTTAACTTCTTCATTCTTTCTTAAATAAAAAAATATTAATATTATTATTCTTCTTTTAACTTCTGTTTTTAGTGGACTTGCTACAGGAGTTTATACTACAAATAGTCCGGAAGCATGCCAATATTGCGCAGAATATAGTCGAGCAAATATTATAGTCGTTGAAGATAAAAAGCAGTTGGAAAAGATCTTGAAAGTAAAAAGCAATTTACCAGATTTGAAGGCGATTATTCAATACGAAGGCCTACCTACCGAGGAGGGTGTTTTAAGCGTGCGTACACATCGCAGTCATCTAATAATATTAATTTAAAAAAGAATGCCACGCGACTTATTCTTGTTCCTTGATTCTCTTTCTAGTGGGATGATGTATTGGAGATAGGGAAGAAGGAATCAGACGAGAAATTAATATCTACCCTAAAGATGATCGGTGTAAATGAGTGTTGTACTTTGGTGTACACGGTATGTTGAATACATTCGTTATATCATTCCTGTTTGATATATTCTTCGCTTAATTTGCAATTATATTTTCAGTCAGGGACAGTCGGAAATCCGAAAGCGGTGATGATAAATCATGACAATTTCTTGACTAGTTTAAAATCTATATGCAAAATCATAGAAACAAAGGACAAAGACGAGGCTCTAATCAGCTACTTACCGTTATCTCATATTGCAGCTCAGGTGAGTTCGTCAAGCAGAATATTTCGCGATCGAAAGTACCAATCGTCGAGAGAGAATTTTTCGCATGAGAATTCTTCGCGTTAATCTATTATTTCATTCATTTCAGGTGTGCGACCTTCTGTTAGGCATATATATGGGAGCCACAGTATACTTCGCAGACAAAAATGCGCTGAAAGGTTCGTTAGTGGAGACATTGCACGTTGCACAACCGACTATCTTTTTTGGAGTGCCTAGAGTGTGGGAGAAGTTCCACGAGAAAATGTTGGAGAAAGCACGTAGTAACAGTACTATAAAAACTTATATCGCGAAATGGGCGAAAGGTCAAGGACTCTATTATTATATGAATAAAATGAATGGCTTGGATTACAAGCATTGGGGCTACGTCCTCGCAAAGTGGATTGTATTTGACAAAGTGAAAATGGCATTGGGTTTAAGTAAATGCCGCTTATTCGCTAGCGGGGCAGCGCCCATTAATATGGAGGTTAAAAAATTCTTCCTGAGTTTAGATATACCACTGATAGAAGTGTATGGAATGTCTGAATCTGCTGGACCTCATACAATAACTGATATAAACAATTACAAGTAAGTCGTATCTACTTGTTCAACTTGTTCAACTTCTATGATATATTTCTCGTTTAAATTTGACCTCTTAGAATTTATTATGACAATACATTGCATTATCTTCAGTACCAAGATAGCACAGAGAATTCAAAAAGAATTAAAAAAGAATTTAGTCATATGTCACCAATTCTGAATTCATTTTCAAATGCAAAAATAATTCTTCAAAGTTCAGTGAAAAAAATTCTTTTTGCATCTAAAATTGGTGACATGACTGAATTCTTTTTTAATTCTCTGTGCTATCTGGGATAGATAATGATAGGGTTTTTGGACCATCTCGTATGCAGATGAGATAGTTGGTGAGAAATAAGGAAACAGTTTTAGATATAATGAATACTTTAAAAAGATTCTTTAAGAAAAGGAAACTTTTTCTGAGTTATGTACAGAAAAAACAAAATTATTGGGAGAGATTAAAGAGAAGAAAGAAAAAACAGGAATGAGAATATACAGTGTTAAATAAATGAATTGTGATTATATCTTTGAGAGAAAGAATAGGGAAATAATAATACATAAAGTTGTGATAATTAAAAGATGTGATAGCTAATAGGTAAATAATAAATAGATAAGTTAGTATAAGACAAAGTGGATAAGGTAATTACTATGATATAATGATGAGTTAATAATGAGTTAATAATGGAATATTGGTGATATAATAATGGAAATTTAAATTGTGATATTTGTGATATTTTCCACGCAACGCAATGTTCAAAATAAGACATAACACATTTTTAAGATGTTTCAAAGCCATCTCTAAATCTTCGCAACATAAGACGCCTCTGAGACGTTTTTAAGACGTCTTCAAGACGTTTTATATCTCAATTTTAGACGTTACGTTGTAGACGGTAACTGTTGTGATATCAGAATAAAAAAAAAAAAAATATATATATATATATATATAATTAAAAGTTTAATATAAGATATGGTTAAATGAATGTAGTTGAGAGAAGTTTTGTAAACTATTTCACTTTTTTTTAGTAGTTGTAGCTGAAGTAATAATATATATATATATATATATATATATATATATATATATATATATATATATATATATATTGCGTTATCTTCGGTTCTAGCATTCACGGTACTGGGGTGACATTACCCGGTCTCTATACAAAAATAGACAATATAGACGAAAATGGTGAAGGTGAAATCTGTATGGCTGGACGACATGTATTTATGGGTTATTTAAATGATCCAAATAAAACTGCAGAAACTAAAGACAAAGATGGATGGTTACATACCGGCGATCTTGGTAAATTGGATTCAAAAGGAACCCTATTCATCACCGGTAAGTATTTGTTCTTGATCGTTTATCACGTCTGCACACGTGGCTATGTTAACTCTTATCAAGTATAATAAACACTTGTATTTTCGTACTTTGCTATATAAGCGATTATACATCCCTAATAAAAATTGCGGACAGAAACGGATAAAATTTACTGCTGCAAATGCGGATTTTCTATCCGCATTTTGTATTTGCAGATAGAACGTACAGCTTACAGTTAGAAACGGATAGAAATCCTGTCTGTTTCTGTGCGTTATTTTTATCAGGGAGAAAAATTTTTACCAGGAATAGTAATGTCTCCTTGCGTGCGCTCTTGCAGGTAGAATAAAAGAGCTTATTATCACAAGCGGCGGAGAAAATGTAGCACCAAATAATATAGAGCAAGCCATATTAACAGAATTGCCGGTGTTAAGTAATGTCATGTTAATTGGCGATAAGAGGAAATATTTGGTAGTGTTCGTCACGCTTAAGGTACAACAAATAAAATACTCAGTCATATGAACAAAATAATGCTTCTGCCCGCGTTTAAAACAAAGAAATTATATGGTTCTTGTTGACACATAATCAAGGAGGAGTAAAGGCCTGTTAAAAACCAACGCGCAGATGTGATAGCGTGATATTAACCAACTAAAACTATAAATTGTTAGTGTCTGTTCTCACAGATGTATAAAGAGGAAATATTTATTTTTATCTAATAAAAAATACCATTAAAAGGACCGTTTCGGTCCTTCAATTAACGTGTATGGATCAATGGTTTCAGTTAATATCACGCTATCACATCTGCGTGTTGGTTCTTAACAGGCCCTTACTCCTCCTCACTTGATTAAAATAATGCTGCTTTCAAAAAATCAAATGATTATACGTCTTATCGGATGTTTTCCAGAGCGACATGAATAGCGATAACGGGATGCCTTTAGATACACTGAATCCAGACGTATTGAAATGGGTGAAATCTATTGGTAGTAAAGCCACGACAGTAACGGATGTTATAAACTCACGTGATCCATTGGTGAGTTAAATATTCATGAAGATTTAAATATCGTACGCGTTGTTTGCATTTCGACTTATTTTCGACTTGTTTCACCTAGCGTTATTCTCCTTATTCTATTGCGACTTTGGAGGAGCGTATGACTTGTAAACATATACTTATTAATAGCGCAAAATTGTTAGAACATATGTTTACAAGTCATACGCTCTTCAGTCTCGAGCGGCTCAAAAATTGTACAATGAAATAAGGGAAATTGTACAATGAAATAGCATTAGGCGGAACAAATAGAAAATCGGTCGAAACGCGAAACGCGTACCGAGCTCTGATATAATTCGATACAAAATAAATATAAGTATAAACCAAGAGATCGTCTATCTATTAAGCTAAAGCTGTGGTGATTATAAGTGTTTAAGTCTAAAAAACCATCTACAATGGGATCGTAGTTACGTTTTAAAGTCGTAGCACTAGTTTGTGAATCGATCTATTTCCTTCGCGTAAACTGAAAAATGAAAAGTTTTATTGAATTCGTCCATGAGACTTTTCATTTTTCACGAATGAAATAGATAGACGATCTCTAATAGAAAGATAAAAATGTGTGACGGTGTTACAACACAAACCAATCTTCACTACTCTTTTGTCGTTGTAGATTTTTTAGTTATTATTTAAATTAGATTAATTATTCGTAGTTATTATACAGCCAGTCAATTTTCTATTTTTGTTGCAAAAAGATAACACAAAAAATATCTCATTCAAATTGGCTTATATATTAGAAAATGCGTATATTTTTTCTTGCAGATATATGAAGAAATTGACAAGGCAATCAAGAGAGCTAATACACATGCTATAAGTAACGCTCAAAAAGTACAAAAATTCGAAATTCTTCCTCATGATTTCTCAATACCGACTGGGGAATTAGGACCCACGTTAAAGCTTAAGAAAAATGTCGTTCTAAATATGTATGCGGATTTAATAGATAAAATATACCAATGAAACAAATTGATAAATTGCATACCGATATAATAATAAAAAATATATATTATTAACAAAATTTATTATAAATCCGATTAAATTAGAAAGCATGCATCATTTCCACAAAAGTGAGACAGATTCAAATAGATTAAAAAGACATAGAATTTTAAATATATATATTATTCATAAAAGATGTTTTTTACACACACTAAAAGATATATGCAAATATGTAAAAATAAAATTGTCTCACCAATGAATTCATATTGTTTTGAATTAAATTGTTTTTCAATCAAGTATATAAGAAACTTTAAGTATATAGAAACTTGTACAAACATACAAAACATACCGCCAAAAAATGTAAAAAGTAAAGATAAAAATTAGAGTGAGTACTTGTACATATAAATATACATACAAATATATATATATATATATACACACACACAAATATATATATAGTAATTAAAAAGGGACCAATTTATATAACATTGTAATGGGAAGACAAGAATAAAAAGAATAGAAATTCTTAATTATGATATATTACTAAATATAGTTTACAATAAGCAAAACTGCAGTTATATTTAAAATTATTATGTTCATTCATTCACCCTACATTCAGATTCTCATAATAAATGTGACTTTCTGTAAGAAAATAGTCTTACTAAGCGCATCACAGCAACTTTTGAGAGAGAAATGCAGATCTGTATATTTTTTGACACTCAATCTTACGGTATATTGAGTGCGTGTCAAGTTATACATTCAGGTTATCATGCTTATACTTAATCAAGAACCTGCATCATTGGATAATTGTCCTTACTGCTATTTACTTTCCCAAATTTTCCAAAATTAATAATTCCAAATATTAATTTTTACATGTGTACATCTAAGATACGTATTTATTATATGCGCTAGCTAACAATACAATCTGAATACATTAATAACTTTTAGATTTTTTTAAAATTGTTATCTGTAAACCAGAGAATATTAATACATGTCCAAAATAAGAATGTTTAATTAGATAATTATAATAAAAAAAATGTAATGATATATAAAAGTTATGAATTTTTCAGCCAATAGTGACTCATTCATTCAAATAAACAAAACTCGGAAATCATTGCGGCACATACATACAGATCACTATTTTTAATAATATTACAGTTTTCCTGGATGAGCAGCTAGAAAATAATTGATTCACTAAGGATATAAGATTTTTATGCTACTATAAAATGTCTTTTACACAAGATGTTTAAAAAAACGACCAAGCACGGAGTCATTCAAATTTCTGATTGTATATGACAGTACCATATTACTTCAGCATCTAAACATAACACTAATTAACAAAGTGTAACTTAAAAGAGCAACAGAAGCATCTTATGAAGCAGTCGATGTATTGAACTTTTGTTGGATGATGGATGTTTTTCGCTGTGGTACTGTTTCTGGTGTTGGTATAGCATCACCTGTTGGCAAAACACCAGCTGGCTTTGGCTTGGCTGTTGATTTTTGTTTTGCCATTTGATAATCCCCAGAATCAAAATATTTTTGCTGAAAATATTTAAGATCCATTTTACTTCTACAAATTTCTATCTCAGGAAAAATACAGTTACCTTTTCATATGTATATTATAATTCCATATCATAAATATATTTACCCCTTTAGCTAATCTCTTTTGCAGAAATGCGGAATGACCACCGAATGGTCGGCCAGCTGCATTTGGAAATTTTGCTCTTAATTTTGCTTCTTCTATTTTTTCTATGTCATTTGATGACAACTATAAGATTGGATAAAGATCATGTGTATATAATATATAAACAAACAATATAAGCATAACAATACAAGTCCAATATAAGCATAACTTTTATGTTGTGTGTGAAGGACTCTTTTTACTTATTTATCAATATTTATAACATAGCCAGACTTACAATCTGCCTTATTGTCATACTTCTACTCGAGTTCAACCCTTAACTAATGTGATAAAGTGTAGATCGCATAGACCCATTTTAGAAAGTAGATTGTTATGAGAGAGAATAGAATAGAACTCAACATCGTTCACTAGTTTAATTCACATTCGAGTATATATTTTTATAAAACATATTTCAGGAGCAAATTGCAAAATCTTTCGAAATTTCAGTAGGTGTTTGATCTTGACACTTTAACATCTACTATAACAATTAAAGGTTAATCTATTGCTGGCCGATTAATCCGAAAAGACCTTTTACCTCCGTAGTCGGACTCTGCTCGCCTGTCTGCTCGTCGCTCATCGTTGCGGCTTTTGAAACGCACTGCTCGTCAGTGACTTCTCTCAGATGCGCCACTTAGTACCTTCCGAATACTAATTTCGACGCTAACGTATATAACGTACATAAGCTAAACGAGTGGCGCAATAACAGCAAGGTTGATCCGTGCAGTTTTTTCGGTCAGATTGCCGAGACCAGGAACTGATCTGTCGTTACGTGTTTTGATCGACGTGACGCCGCGGCAAGATCGGCCACATCAAGAGGATTATCAATGTAAATGCTTTCAAATGCGCACTCAGAACAGACGAGCGCGTCACATAGCGCGGGGTCATATGTTCTCAGATGGCCGTTACCGAGCTCACGCGGCCGAGTTTTCACTGTGTCTGTTGTAACATAAAGTTATGGAGGATTCACACCGCGTCTGATATTCGACATCTGATATCCAATAAAAGAATAGCTTTCAAATGGAGAATTGAATTCTCTATTAGAAAGCTGTTCTCCTATTGGATTTCGGATGCAGCGTGAATTCCCCATAAAAGTGTCAAAGGTGCGAGCAACACGAACTTACCTAGTAATTCCGGCCTAACCGCCGTTTACGTTTTCAGACGTGTTCAAACACGTTCGAACCTGATTTTTTTGGAATTCGTACCTCGATACTTTAAAGGAGAGATAAGTCTGAGTCCAACTAAAATAATAATAACAAGAAGAAAAACACGAACATACTTAATATTCAACATCTCTGATGGAAATATTTTACTAAAAATCTCCTTGAATTAGCCCCTTTTTATTAAAATTCATTAAGATTTGTCAAGATTAATTAAAATTCATTAAAATTCGTAAAATTTATTTTGTTATACAATAACATTAATTTTATAAATTTTAATAAATCTTCATGCATTTTATGAATTTTAACTAATCTTAAAGAATCTTAATGAATTTTAATGCCGATTGTTTCAACTTCTTGGTAGCTGACAGCTATTGACAGTTAAATCATGTGTCTGTTCTGTCTAATTTGAAGAAAAAACAAAGACAGACATATGATTCAATAGTCCGGTAACTTATCAAAAAATTGTAACAATCGGCACTAATCCGAACATTGAGCAAGAAAACATTGAAAGCTTCGCCACGAAAACGAATAACGAGACGATTATCTCGAAAGACAACTTGCTAGCATTAATAACTTACACATAGGATTCATCTTTGACTAGGAAAGAAATTTGTCTTTTTCTCAGGCTATTTCATACAGAAATTGTTTATTAACAATTATATATATTCACGCACCATCTTCGTTACTATAAAAAGATAATGACAAATCGAAATAAAAATTATAGTGACTTAAAGGGATGCTGGAGTCGATGACGAATTCGAACAATGCCAATAACGGCAGAGACGATCGTCACTAACATAATCACGCTATCCTTTTCGTATTTCTTGTACATATATACAGAATTTACATGAATGTGTGTTACTACATTCATGTTTGTTTTACCATATTTAACGCGGAAAACCTAACCATATACGTGTAGAAATCTTTCTGCAAACTTTTTCGATATTTTTAAGTTTCCAAATGCAGATGCGAAGGTAAAACAATGTTCTTCAAAATTTTTCTGTTTGGAGCATTTACAATTTTAATATATATAAGCTGCGGAACTTTTCGATTAGGCAAACATTACGCTGACAGCTTGAGATTTTACATTAAAAATTTTGTTTGTTTTTGTCACATATCGAATGCTCCTATTTATTTTTGCACGTACTTTCATTGCGTAAAAGCACTTGTAATTATGTGTAATTAATACGACGTAAACTTTGCAGAAAAATGTCAGTGTTCTGTCGGTAAAGTTTTTAGCTTCAGCATCCCCTTAATGCTTGGCATTATTCAATCATTGGACGATGATTTTGACTTTTTTTTCTTCCTTGGCACAGATATATCTGTTTGTTCAGCATGACCGTTTTCGACGTGCTCGTTCTCCTGGCCGTTCTGTAGTACGTCGATTTTTCTCTTTTTGTCTTTCTTTTTCTTCTTGGGAGACACCGTACTGACTCGCTCCATAGAAACCAATGATTCCTCTAAGGCCTCTTTCATAACATCGATGTTCTTCTTAGGTATCTCTCCCGTCTCAAAAAACTTGAGCCGGTCTTCTACCTGCTGTTTCAACTTCTCGCCAAACACATTGGTCGGTACGTCTAAGAAGCAATCGATCCTGGAAGCCATTGAACATTTATTCGCTAAGTATCTTGATATCCTGCCTTTATCTTTAGCACTCGCGCGGCCAATGAATGTAGAGTTAAAGAGTAAACCAAATTTTGGCGTATTTCCTCTAGTTTTCAATGCTCTAAATAACGCCTTCTCTGCACCTAAAATTTGAACAGTCGAAGCTGGAAATTTTGCCAAGTTGGTGAGTGATCCAGCGTGCGCAATTAATCTAGCGCCGGTTTGATCGCCGATTAAAGACGCGAGATTTGGCGCCACTCCGGACATTTTGCTTCGCAAATAATGTGCCAGACGCTCGCGGTAATCACCCAGCGAGACAACGCGTTCGGCGAATATCTCAATGTTCATGAGATCGACCAGACTGATGTCCATTCCCATGGACGACTTAGACGCGTCGACGATCGCCTGCGCTTTCGCAGAGTCCATGATAATTTCTTCGAGGGCTTCGAGTTTCTCTTCCGTAAGCTCTTTCCTATTTTTAATTACTTGAGCAACCTTTGCATACATATGATTATCCGAAACGATTTTCACAAGTTCGGGGAAGTGATAGCCGTACCATTCTCTGGAATGCAAACAGAGAGTTATTTTCGAATGCTCTATTTATTTCAAGCTATCAAAAATAACATCTTTTTTCAAATAAATTTTATTAGACTAAACTCGGATATAATTAAGAATTGTTAAAAATTAGATTGAGAAAAATAAATTGAAAATTACTCTTGATGAAATGTATAAAATTTTTTTAACAGCAATTAAGTGGGAAAGATATCATACATACCGTATACGCATACTAAATGTATTAATGTCCTTGTCCAATTGATCCATCAAGCCTATAGTATGGATTATCATATTATCTACTCGATGAATATTAAATTTGACTTTGGCTCTGGAATAGCTGTGCCCAAGACCAAGTTGTGCAACTAATGCACTTTGGGAGGTGAAACCTTTCACCAAATCATGAAAATAAAGTCTAATGCCACGTGTGATTTCAGGTATACCATTCATGTGATCACATTTTATACTCAGAGCTTCAGTGATGCTGGCACCAAGCTTAGGGTCAGCAACACCAAGAACAACATTTTTCTCTGCTGATCTTGGTATGCAGGAATCCAGAAACGCCTGCAACTGTGTTGAGACAACTCCTTCAGAAATATAGTTGATGTTCTCCAGAGCAACTACTGCGGTCTTGAAGGCTGAGAAGCCAATAAGACTCACAATGCTTTGGAAACGTGATAAATCTGTGATGGCAGTTTCAACTTGGGGCAACAGCATTCCAATCTCCTCGAATTCTTTGACACGGAATACTGCATACCCAGAGGCATGCTCAAACAGGATAAATAGCTTCTTCTGAAAAACCAAAATACACATATTAGAGATCTCCATATATATATATATATATATAGACTTCTGGTTGAATGCGAGTGTAGCACAGTGGACTATACACAGTGGACTATACACGAGAGTAGTCTACTATGCTAAAGGCCCAGGAGAAAGGAAAAAATTTTTGTACACTCATCTTAGTAGGCTTGGCTAACCTCCAAGGGTATAGGATAAGAAATCTAATAATAAGAAATCCAAAAGGATGGAATTTGTTAGTGTATAGATTAAGATATACCTAGGATAAGAAAAGTATAAAAGGAAAAAGGAATAGATTAAGATATAAATAGATTAAGATGGCGACAAAAAGGAAAAATGAAGAAAAAGGCATGTAGGAAAACGTATAAAGTCAAAGGAACTTCTTGGCATTGTAAAAGCTAAAGTTCAAAATAAAGATAGATATTGACTTCTGATTGGGGCAGAGAGGATATGTAAAAATATGTAATAACTGAAAGCCATCATAAGGCAAAAGACGCGAATTAAGAATAAATAAATATGTAGATATATATAAAGTCATTGTGTTAGGAGATATACTTGAATATTGTCTATATCAAATCTGTTACTAGTGGCATCAACATATTATGTACATTAAGCTGCATGTCACATATAAGCTGCATATCATATATAAATAACTATAATTTAAGAGATAAATATAATTTGAGAAAAAATTGTATAGCAAAATTGCAACAACAAATATAATTTGAGGAAAAATTACATGATCATATTTAATATTTTAGGTTGAAGCGGACTAAAATGTTCGCAAAACGTACAAAGAATCCACGTGGCTCAAACCCGGAAACCAAATCTAATATACATGATCATATATAAGTTTAATTTATACTCACCATTTGTATTTCTTCACAATTACAACAGGAATTTAGGCAAAAAAATTTGATCAAATACTTCGGGCTACTACAATTTCTGAGCAACCTTACTTCACGTTAACTCACTCAATATATAAACGGCCACGTGCCTTGAATGTACCATTATGGCCGCGTTCCGTGTCGCTAGTGAGCTCTGTTATTGTGTGTGTGTCAGTCCCAAGCCACAATAGATGTAGTAAGCTTTAAGCCTTAAGAAATTGACCAATCACAGTCGATTATTTTCCTAAAATTTGACTGTGATTGGTCAATTTCTTAAGGCTTAAAGCTTACTACACCTAGTGGATCAGGACTTATGGCTGCTGCACACAGGAAGCGGCAACGCTTGCCGCGCGGCAACCATTACCGCGTCCTGTGTGCAGGAGCCATTAGCTGTTTGCTGGTCCGCTGATGAGCTCTATACATACAGGGCTACGTTCAAAAATTCTATTCGGTGGGTAGAGTACATTTAGGTTGCTTTCCAACAAGAAACACAAGTCGACACAAGTATCATCCTATCTTTGTTACTCACTAAATGTGGAACAAAGATAGAATGATGTTTGTGTCGACTTGCGTCTCTTGTTGGAAAGCAACCTTAATTGACCAATCATGATAAAGAAATTCTAGTTATATTTGTTCTTATTAGTCAATTAAATGCTACTCTACTGTAACATCCGGACTTATTTTGAAACATTAATAATATATTAATATAGATCGGAGGCCGACTTGTCTGATTTCAGACATCACTAGATATTTTATACCTATGTTACTAGACGTAAGTACGTGCGCATATGTATATTCGCGCACGTTAAATAGTATAATTAAAATTATAACGCTGAACACTGCGTGTCGTTAGAGAGTCTTAAAATCGATGGATCAACTGTAGACAAGAGAAACCGTAATCGCTCAATGCGATAAGGCGTCCCGCTGCTAACATAAACAGGAGCATGAAAACTGAATCCAAACACCACTCAGGACCGACGCGGCGATATCGACGCGGTGACATCATACCGATGGAATGAATCTCTTCTATTTCCATGACTCCATCAGCCAATCAGGAAACGACTCAGCGACAAAGCGACATATAAAAACGCGTGCATTTGTTGAGAAGGCGATTATTTCTTCTCATAATTAGTCTCTAGTAATTCTCGTGTACTTATTTGGAATATATTAGTCGTAAAATCCGACTGTGTTGCAATTACTTTTGCCTACCCTTCATTTTTCGAACGTTGCAAAATCGAAATTCGGAATCGCGGGCCGCATCATCCCGCGTAGCGCCGAAACATCCGAGACCGAGCCAGGAGAACGAGCAGCGCTGATTTCTCGCCAGATTCATCGATCGTTTCGCCAGTCTCCGAAGACCCATGGTAAACTCGGTGAAAAGCAGTGACCCAAAAACGGAGTCATCACTCTGTTGACCGTCCACGTAAGTCACTGATTTCACTACTTTCAAATTTCCCTATATAGTTATTTATCGTGGACGTAACACTACCCATCGAGTAGAGTTTTGGAACGCAGCCCTGGGGTACTATTCCGTTCCCGCGTATCGATAGCTGTCGAATCGGTACGCGTCGTTGCGCAGCTTTTTATACCGTGGAAAAACTGCGCAACGACGCCTACCGATTCGACAACTGTCGGAACCACGATAACGGAATACCAGCCCTGGAGGGAGCTTTTATAGGTTTGATGATAAGTCTGTCTCACTTTATACTTAACCAATCAGGGAACCTCAGCAAAACAGCTTTACCACCAATCGGAAGTGTCCCGATTGACCATGGTATAATTGGACACCACCAACCAGTGCAAAGAATTATCTAGTGAATTACCAAGTTGAACCAATCATTATAATCTGTATCCAATCGTACCGTGGTCAATGGGTGCGTTTAGAGAATCTAGTAAAGAGAATCGCCAACTTGGTCATGTGACCAGCTACTCTGCGATTGGCTAGCAAAAACATGATATAATACATGTATATATATAACATGTATATATATATATAAGCATTTGTCTGCATAGCGTCGCAATATTTAAATCCGTATATATTTATGCCAGCCAATCAGCTGGCCACGTAACCAAGTTGGCGATTCTCTTTATTTGAGATTCTCTAGATGCGTTCAGATTCTCTATCCGAGTGCACTCTAATGGCTTCTGCACACAGGACGCGATAATGCTTGCCGCGTCCTGTGTGCAGGAGCCATTACACTCGCTCTCCCTATACACAACAGAATGCAATCAAGTTTTCCATCTAGCTATAGAATTCGCTACGATGATGATACCAGCTAATTTTTGACTCCGACTGCTATGTTCGAAGTTATTGGTGGCGTGTTATGGCTTTGATTTATCGCATGCATGCAACGAGACGATACGAGTTTGAAGAAATTCGAGTAGCCGCGAAAGTGCAACATTGACATGAATACCTTGATCCTTACGAAGATGATGACTGGCCGCAGTGGAGTTGTTCGACGTGCGTGTCACAGAGTATTACTTCATATCCTATTATAGATTAACATAGTTTTGTAATGACTCTTGTAACCTACCTACGATATAGATAATTTCTCTGACTAATGTTACATTTACATAACAACGAAGATAAGGCATAGATTATCATAAAATTAATGATGCGTTGACGTTCTTCATCGACACTTTTATTTTTTTATAAATATCATTAATATACGTTATTAGAATCGGATCACGTTGTAAAAGGCACGATATAATCATAGATTATGTTACGCCAAATCGTCGGAAAATATTTCATCGACATTAATGATTGTCAAAAGATATAAACGATTGTATGTGGATCAATTATTAACGAATATATAATAAATATTTCCAATCACTATGCATCATCGATAATAACAACAAATCAGCATTTATTATTAATTTATATTAATTCCTAATCTGCAACACTCAATCTATATACTATAAATGTTTTTTTTTGTTCTAATATTTTTATTATATATTTTATATTGGTGATTAAAAATTTTTGTTTCAGGATACTCCCCATTTAACTTATGGTACAATATGAACCATACAATGAATGGTGTACCTCTAATTTACACAAATTCACGTGATCTAAATAGATTATTGCTGGCACCTATATCATCACCAATGTACATTAATAATACGATATACCTTTCAATTCGTAAATTTCATTTAACTTCAAGCTGGAAAGGCCAAGAATCATCATCCAAAGTTGAAGAAACAGTGAAGAATATCAAAGAAGAAAAAGAGATGAAGCAGAAAATAGTAGAGGGTGTTGTAAAAGATGTTGAACCAGTGAAGAAAGCTAAAGTCACAATGTGGCAGAAAGTTAAGGGAGAAATATTGCACTATTATCACGGCTTTCGATTATTGGGTCTTGACATGAAAGTTTCAGCAAAGTTAATATGGAGAATTTTGCATGGCAAAGAGCTCAGTAGAAGGGAACATAATCTGGTAAGTTGTACACGGTAACTTTGTTACTTAAATCTGATGTATCATATTAGTAATAAACTTAGCTAATTATGAATATTCTGATAGCTGGTGAAGACAACTGGTGACATGTTTAGGTTGATACCTTTCTCTGTTTTCATCATTGTTCCATTTATGGAATTTTTACTTCCTGTGGCGATTAAATTATTCCCTGGCATGTTACCTTCTACTTTTCAAACAGCAACTGAAAAAGAAGACAAACTTAAACAGGCTCTAAAGGTAAATAGATTTCATTTAGAGTATTATGCAAGCAGGATATTCTGATAAAAAGGATTGATGAAACATTAGCTCAGTAAATATTCTGTATGTAGGTCAAGATAGAAATGGCCAAGTTTTTGCAAAAAACATTGGATGAAATGGCGGTGCAATCGTCGAACCATCGATCCGAGAAGGCCAAGGAGTTCGTAGAATTTTTCTATAAAGTGCGAACAACTGGCGCTGTTGCAACCAATGAAGAAATCATGAAGTTCAGCAAGCTTTTCGAGGATGAGATAACTTTAGATTCCCTCTCACGGCCACAGTTAATTGCTTTGTGTCGTGTATTGGATGTACAGACACTTGGCACTACTAACTTCTTACGATTTCTACTTAGAATGAGATTAAGAAGCCTGGCTGCAGACGACAAAGTATGTATACTTTTTTTTTCTTTGTAAAATCGCTTGAGATTTGAGCTATTGAATTAAATTCCTTTTTTCCAGCTGATCGAAAAGGAAGGAGTCAGTACTCTAACTAGAGCCGAACTACAACAAGCTTGTAGAGCACGCGGTATGCGTGCTTACGGATTGCCAGAGAACAGATTGAAAGATCAGTTGTTACAGTGGTTGGATTTGAGTTTAAATAAGAAAGTTCCGCCCTCTTTATTGTTATTGTCACGAGCGCTCATGATACCGGAAACGGTGCCTATGTCAGATAAGTTGAAAGCGACTATATCTGCTTTGCCCGATGCGGTGGTGGCTCGTACGAAAGGTGCTATCGGAGAGAAAGAGGGTAAACTTGATCACAGGACAAATATTGAGATTATAAAAATGGAGGAGCGTAAGATCGAAGAGGAGAGGAAGGAGAAGAAAGAAACTGAGCCACAATCAATCATCTCAGAACCTAGCATCAAGAAAGATGAAATTACCACTACAGACGATGTGAAAGTTCTTGAACAGGCTTTGGACTCCATCGGCAAGGTAGTGTGAATAAGACGTACAACTTTTTAATCTATGTGTGTGATCTATGTATATGATATGATCTTTTATATAATCTTATATATTTTATTTTTAGGACAATAAGAACTTGGCTGTAGAGAAAGAAGAGATCAAGGAGCTTAAAGAAGAAATGGCCGAATATCAAGAGGATATTGAAGAATTAGATCAAATTAAAGCAGAGGCAAGAGGCCAGATAGATATAGAAAATCTTAAAATATCGAAAGGTGCTAAGAGATTATTCAACAAAGTAAATAAGATGATCTCGAAAATGGATGCTGTTCTATTGGAGCTCGAGCAATCTGAGAAGAAAGTGAAGCAGAGAATGAAGTCGTTGGGCCCTGATGAGACAAAGGATGCCAAAGATGTCGAAGAGTTAGTCAAGATCGATGAGTTGATTGCAGCTATTAAGCAAATTCAAAATGTACCCGATGAACATCGGTTAAAACGCATAGCGGAAATTTTAGGGAAAATTGATGATGATCAAGATGGTGCAATCAAGATAGAAGATGTCTTAAAGGTACAAAGCATGCTATTAACTTTCGCTAATCACAATAAATATACGAAAATATGCGTAGTCTTATATAGATACGACTGCACAACTTTCTCTCATTATATTAATAATAAGTTATATTAATAATAAGTTATATTAAAATATCTACGTTCATATTAATTAGACACAATGAAATTCTTACAGAACTATACTAAACTATATATATTTTTACAGGTTGTAGAATTAATAAGTAAAGAAGATGTTAAACTAAGTAAGGAACAAGTAGATGAATTAATAGAATTAATGGACAAGGAAGAAGTGTTATTAGTGGAAGAACAAATGCAAAAGCTACAAAAGGATTCCAGTGAGAAGCAGGAAGAGAATATGAAAGCCACGCATAGATCCACGGTGCCCGCTACACCGGTAACAACCGAGCCAAGATTTGGAAAGGAGGAACTGGCAGAAGATGCCATTAGGGAATCTGATACATCCTATACAGGCTCGTCTATTGAGGAAGACACGCAGAAATCAGCCGCCACACTAAAAAGTAATTCCAAATCTGACGAGATGAAAAATTCCCCGCTTAGACCGAATGTTCCACCGACACCGAAGAAGGCGGAAGGTTCCAAACAGCTGTGATTAGCGCACAATGAAACATAAATTAGTGTATTTAATTATCGGAGCAATATTTTTACCGAAATTTGACACCATAAACTTTTGGTATGGATCTTCGTCTGTATATTGTATCTCACACATGTACTTTTTCTTCTTTTCATCTTTAGAAAATCTTTTTTCAACATTATTTGCTGCAAATAGAGGACGCATCATTATTACGTGAAAATTGAACGTTTTATATTCGCGCGAAGCACATGCGATAACGTCTTTTTGTTAACGCAATTAATTATCGCTAAGGTAGAATCTTGTGTTGGTACATTGTACCAAAATGTGTACGCATAAAATTTTATTTTTGTGTACACATAAGATGTGTACGCGGATATATGCTGCTATGTATGTTGTATGAAATATTGATTTAGTAACAGATTAAATTTTTTTCAATTTCATATT